CCCTCCCTCTCTCTCTCTCTCTCTCTCTCTCTCTCTCTCTCTCGTTCTGGCAGGACCCGAGAGAAGATCCTGGAGGGCTGGAAAGTATATGCCGGGACTACTAACCTGCTCCACTTGCCTGAAGCAGCCTCAGTCGCCCAGATCATCATCAACTCCAACTACTCTGATGAGCAGGATGATTATGACATTGCGCTCATGAAGCTTGACAAACCTCTGACCCTTTCTGGTGAGTGAGTGAGTGAGTTCAAGACTGTCCCTCCCAGATCTCCCTGGGGATGGCAGCAGAGAAGGATGAAGCTCAGTGTGGCAACCTCCATGAAGCCACTCAGTCAGTCATTAACCATTGACTAAGTGCCTACTATGTGCAAAATAGTGTGGGGTGTGTGGGGAGGGGGAAAGAATGTGATGAGAATTAAGACATGGCCCCTGCTCCCATGGTACAGTGAATGGAGGGCTGTGCTTGGAGACAGGAATAACTGGGCTTCAGTCTCACTTCTGACACTAGTTATGTGGCTCTGGTGCAACCATTTATCTTCTCCAAGCCTCAGTATCCTCATTTGTAAAACTGGATAATAATAATACCTGTAGCACTTGCCTTGTGGGTTTGTTGTAAAAGTAAAAGGAGAAAATGTATTCAAGTGCTTTGCAAATCTTAAAGCACTATATAATCTCATTCATGATGATGTCATATTTATTGTGGTTGTTCAGTCATTTTTCAGGCATGTCTGATTTTTTGTGACCCCATTTGGGGTTTTCTTGGCAAAAATACTAAAGTGGTTCTACATTTCCTTCTCCGGCTCATTTTACCGATGAGGAAACTGAGGCAAACAGTGTTAAGTGACTTGCCCAGGGTCACCCAGCTAGCAAGTGCCTGAGTTCAAATTTGAACTCAGGAAGATAAGTTTTCCTGACTCCAGGCCCAGCACTCTATCCGCTGTAACATCTGGCTGCCCATGATATCATTATGATGAAGGCCATATGACACATGTCAATGAATCAATCAACAAACATTTACGTAGCACTTACTTTGTGCCAACACTGGTTAAGCACTGGGAATACAAAGACAAAAGTGAAACAGTCCCTGCCCTCAAGGAGCTTACATTTTAATGGTAGAGCTGGTGTGAACACTTGCAATTATAGAATTTATCAGAAATTAATATGGGGCATTTTATACACAAATATGTCATAACTATATAATAGATGTCATGTAGAAATGAACAGAGTAAAAATAAGAGAAGTTCAAAGTGCTCTGCAAATTTTGGAGAGATTACTTCGAACTGGTTATCCCACAGAACACTTTATGGAGGAGGTGGCATTAGAGCAGAATATTGGGAAATGGGTAGGGTTTCAACAAGCAGAGATCAGGGGTTATCTAGCTCAGCTGGTGCTTGGATATTCATTTCCTTTACAATATCCAAAAGAAGTGTCATCTAGCCCCTACTCGTCAACTGGCCCCTAGCCACCTACTCAAATGACGGAGAACTTACTACTCTTTGAGAAACTCCATCTCATTCTCAAACAGGTTTTTTTTTTTTAAGAGATGTTTTAATTACATCTAGCTGAAATCCAAAACTTATAGTTATTGCTCCTATTTCTGTCCTCGGGGCCCACACAGTGCAAATCTAATGCCTCTTCCAGGTGACATTCTTTCATATATTTGAAGACAACTATTGCGTGTCCTCTAAGTCACCTCTTCTCCAGGTTAACTCAAATCCTCAGTTCCTCCAGCATCTTCTACGGCCCAGTTTCCAGTCCTCTTTCCCTCTTAGTCACCCTCTTTGGGTCATGTTCCACTTCCTCACAGTCCTTCAAATGTGGTGCTCAGAGCTGAGCATCATATTCCAAAGTGGAGTCTAGTGAGGGTGGAATTCGGTGGGATTCTCACCTCACTTGCTTTATGCTTATACTGTTGCATTTAGGCCACCTCTGCCTGAAGTGCTTCTTTGTGGTCGCGTCGGAGTGTGGAGATGGTCCTGGCTAATGGAATATATGTTGTGTTAGTTCCTAGTCAGCTGGAAACGTTTTTGACTATGGAGGTTTTTTTTAACTAAGGTTTTGACTCTGGAGCCAGATGCTGAACCAGGTGCTGAATTTTGCGCCACAGGAGTTTTTGAAGACTACATCCTATGGCAAAGAGGGGCTGAAAACTCTTGGTTTGGAGAGTAGAGTAGTAGAGAGTGTCCTCATCAATGAAACAGCAGGTCCTGAAGCATTCAAGGAGCTATCAGGTTTGGGAGTGTTATGTCATACTGTTGATTCGTATTGAGCATACATTCCACTAAAAATTCTAGATCTTTTTCATAGAAGCTGTTATCTCTTACTTTCTCTCTGTGACTTCTAGACTCCAGGAGTTTTCTACCCACCTTGAAAGATAAATATAGACATTATTATTTTCTTTTTGTTTTTTTTTCCAACTTTTATTTTGTTTTTCAATTAGCAAGCATTTGTTTTCTTTCACTGGCACCTTTCTTTACCCCTGCCCCTCATTGAAAAAGTAAGAGAAAAACCTATCCCTTAAAGCAAATAGACATAGTCAAGTAAAACAAATTCCTGCATTGGTCATGTCCAAAAACTCATTGTGCCTCTTGATGAGTTCATCACCCTTCTATCAGGAGGTAGTCAACATGCTTCTTCATCAGCCCTCTGGAATTATGGTTGGTCTTTCAAATTTGTTTGTCCTTACGATACTCTTGTCTTTGTACAAATTGCTCTCCTGGTTCTTCTCACTGCACTCTGCATCAGTTCATACAAGTCTTCCTAGGTTTCTCTGAACCTGTTTCTTTCATCATTTCTAATGCATTCTATTATATTCATATGCCATAATTTGTTCCAATCCTTTGACATTCCACAAAAACAGCTGCTATGAATATTTTTTTACATATGGATTGATCCTTTTTGTCTTTCTCTGTTCTCTTTGGGACATAATGTGAACAATTTTGTGACAGTGACTTTTGGGGGAGGCATAATTACATTTTTGCTTTCCAGAATGTCTGGAAAGACATGTGTATTATGCAATACCATGACTAAGTGTGCCACCCCCTACAGATAGAAAGATAGTGCAGATTGAGGCTTTTTTTATTTTTTTAGTTTGGACATAGTCAACACAGAAATTTGTTTTGCTTGACTAAATGTTTGCAACTGGTTTTGTTTTTCTTGCTCTTTCAGGGGTGGGTTATGGTGGGGTGGGGGGTATGTGAGTGGAAGGGAGAAAATGAAGACTTGAAAATAAAATAGAATTGAATTTTTTAAAAAAGATGTATATAGTAAAGCAACATAAGGCAGTTTTTGATAAGCACCAAAAGAATGAGTCGGGCAGTAAGTATTTCACAAGTTCAAAGGAGGGGTGGCAATCATGGTGATTTGTGCTACTCAGGGGAAGCTTTATGGAGGAGGAGACACTGGAATTGAGTTGTGAAGGATGGGAAGGAATTGGGTAAGAGGGCAGGAAAAAAGAAGACCATGGAAGCATGGTCAATCCTGGTATTGTGGGAAGAATGCTTTGGAGTCAGAGGGTCAGGGTTCTAGGCCTGGATCTGTCACTAACTAGCCTTGTGACCTTGGAAAAATCACTTCACTAAACTAAATCTCAGATTCTTTGCCTGTAAAATGAGAGTACAAGGTCCGAGGAACATGTAGCTCTGGAGGCAGATGACCTGGGTTCAAATCTTACCAATGACATTTACTGCCTGTGTGATTATAAGCAAATTACTTAGCTTCTTTGAGTCTTACTTTCCTTATCTGCAAAATAAGAGAGTTGGGGGTGCCTTACATCGATAGATCTTTGATCTTGTGATCTTACAAAGGTATGCAGATGGAGCAATGGAAGGAGTGGTGGGAGTAGGCCTGTCATGTGTCTAACACTGTACTAGCAGGAGGTCCTAGGGTGGAACCAGAGTCCCAGGAATCTTAACCTTGTTAATCCTGCCACTGTCATGCTCTTGGGCCTGGGGTACTTGCTGGTATCTGGCTCCTTAATTATGAAAATGATGCCCTGAATCATTGCAATTAGCCCATTGGAACGAGGAGGAAACTGAGGCCTGGTGAGCAGGGAGAGACTGGAAGTGGGGCCTAGAGTGACCCAGGGGGCCCCACCCATAACCTGTGACCATCACAAACCCTGGCCTAGGTGCTGCCCATTTTTAAGGGTCCCCTTTTGAGGGATGCAGTCTCACTCAGGCCTGATGTTTAGGCGTGGGGGGAGAGTCTCAAGAGACTGTGATGAGTTGGCATCTCTGAAATGTGTTCAGACCACCATCAGGGCAACATTCATCCCTGTGCAGGAAAAGTCTGTAATGGAAAGGTTTAAACAAACATTTGAAGGGAAGAGAAGGAGGCTGGAGGGAAAAGACACTTTGCCTATGGGGACCATAAGGGATAAAAGAGAAGGACAGTGGAATGGACCCATTCTTGAGAGGTTTGCTGGGATTGGAATTCAATTTAATAAGCCTTTCAGTGCCTACTAACATGCTCAAGACCATATTATAGAAAGACTAGAGATCAAATAATTACTTTTCAAACCTTCATCTGAAAGATAGGCTTAGGGAGGTAGAAATGACTTCCCTAAGGTCATATATAATTAGTAAAGGTCAGAGCATAGCCTTGAACCCAGATCTTCTGACTCTCAGTTCGATGTTCTTGCCTCTACATTTTCCTGAATCAGAGTTATGGTAAACAGAATCAGAAGACCATTTACTCTGGTCATATAGCCTGGGATTAATTCCAGGGAGAAAGGGGGAAAACCATCACCAGAGTGGAATGGACACAGCCCTAGGAGACCAGACCATTGGCCTGGATGTCCAGAAGTTCAAACTATTACTTTCTCTGTCCAACAAAAAGAAGGCATAAAGGGTCCAGTGGTTATAAAACACACGTCCTGTGTCCTTTCTGTCAAGTAGATGTCCCTCTATTGCAAATATGGTACAAGAGAGCCGTAGGGTACAGGGAGTGAGCCCCTTTCAGGCTGCTCAGTGTCCACAGGCCACACACTTAATCCTGTCATGGTTTTGGTGGCCTAAGGACTGACCTTTGGAGTGGGGTGAAACCAAAGTATGGATGACTATGGGCTTGGCTAGATGGCCACTGAGGTCCTTTCCCATTCTCAAATTCAATATGATTCTGTATGTGGGAAAAGGGGAGAGGAGGTCCTATGAGTATTTTAGCCATGAGACCTGCTTGGGAAAAGGGAAGGAGTCAGTCTCAGGTCTCCTGAGAATTCTGAAATCTGTGGGGGTTAGGGGTGGGGAAGAACAAGGATTTTTAGGGCATTTGGTAGATTCCATACTTATGAGAAAAAAATTAAAACCAACGACAAAACTCTGGTGCTGGTCTTGTGCTGATTCCATGGCGTCTTTATTGCAGCTCATGTCCATCCTGCCTGCCTCCCCATGCATGGACAGACCTTCAATCTCAATGAGACCTGCTGGATCACAGGCTTTGGCAAGACAAAGGAAACGGATGGTAAGGAGCCAGAAATGATACTGAGGCAGTGGCTGATCGTGGGGGTAGTGAGGTGGGCAGCCTGAGGCACAGCCTTCCTAAATTCCCTGCCCTGAACCAGAGGGCAACAGAGCTAACCATAACCTGTGGGAAATAAGGTTTGGGGCAGGGCTAGTCCCCAGACTCTAATTAGGGATCTTGTGGTGAGCCTAGAAAAACAAGGGAAACAACTAGAGCTATGGGTTTGAGTATCCTAGAGGGAAATTTATCTGCCTGAGGACGAGGGTGGACGACCCCAGCAATAGTCACCTCTACAGGTCACTGGCCAGAGGGAACCAGGAGTCCCAACAGCAAGCTCAGTTTTAACTCCTTAGTGTTAAATGCAGTAAATAGAATGTTGGACTTGAAATCAGGAAGAACTGAGTTCAAATTCTGCCTCAAACACTTACTAGCTGTATGATCCTGGGCAAGTCACTTAACCTCTGTTTGCCTCAGTTTCCTCATCTGTAAAATAAGGATAATAGCAACACCTACTTCACAAGGTTGTTGTTAAAATGAGATAACATGATAGAAAATGCTTTGCACAAAATGCTTAGGACACAATATAAAAAAATTATAATTATTATCACAATAATGATGGTGATTGTGCCCTACTGCTTCTCAGGCTGAAAATCTTGAAGGGAAGTGAAGCAGAGGAACAGGAACCAGATGGAGGGTAGTGGCCGCCTGGCCTCCATAACAGAAGTCTGTGTTTTTATGTCTGTGTAAATTTGTTTTTCTTTTTGTGTATAACTGCGGAGGACATTTTGGGGTTTATATGTATGTGAATGTGGTATATGGAAAGACAAGGTAACAGTGGATTGGGAGTCAAAAGGTCTGGGTTAGGTTCCCAGGTTACTAGTCAGGTGACCTAAGGCAACCTCATTCAACTTTAATTTCCTCATCAGTAAAATGGGAATGAGAATAGTTGCCCTGTTTTCTTCATAGAACTCTTTTGAGGATCAGTGCAGGTATGTGAAGGTGCTTTGTGGATGAGTTTATACCAGATCAAAGTATGGTGTGTGTGTGTGTGTATCTGTACATATTTATAAGCGTCAATCAGAATGTATCTGGTAGATGTGTGTATTTGGGGGTATACATTCAACCACTTGGGCTTGCTTGGCCCTAGGGTCAAGAGCAAGATGCAGTAGTACTTGGAAGACCCCAATGAAAGGAGGCCTCCCTGGTCATGGGCACTGTGGAGGTTGAGCTGGGCTAAGCTGGACTGGACTTGGAGGCTGGAAATCAAACTCTGGGATTCATTCCTCATCTCCCTTGCTTCCCTTCTCTCATACTTTTTCCATGAAGAGAAGACTTCCCCCTACCTACGGGAGGTTCAAGTCAATCTCATCGACTTTAAGCAGTGCAATAACTATTTGGTCTATGACAATTACCTGACTCCTCGAATGATGTGTGCTGGAGACCTCCGAGGAGGGAGAGACTCTTGCCAGGTGAGTCAACGACTCCTGTTTGGGTGAGTGGGAGGGGAGGGTGGATCCTAATGTCCCAGGGGGTAGAGTAGAGTGGGGAGGAAATGGGGGGAATGGAGACTCAGGCTTCCCTGTAGCAAGATACCCAAGAAACCTGGGGAAGAGTCTGGTCTCCCTCCTTGTCTGTGACCACTATCTTCTCCTTGTAGGGGGACAGTGGGGGGCCACTGGTGTGTGAGAGGAACAACCGATGGTACCTCACAGGAGTGACCAGTTGGGGCACGGGCTGTGGCCAGAGGAACAAACCTGGTGTGTACACCAAAGTGACAGAAGTCCTTCACTGGATTTACAGCAAAATGGAGGTGAGACAACTAGGGCATGGCCTCCAGAGAGAGTATTCATGGGGTATTCATGGCTGAGCCCTAGGCCTTACTCTTCAATAATCCCACACCCTAGCTTTGCTGCGTACCAGTCTCCCTCTTCTTTTTTTGACATTTGAAAACTGTTAAATATTTAATGAAGTATATTTTGTTATAAAACAGATAATAAGTTTATTATAATAATGAATTTCTTTTTAAAATTAATTATTTTAATTTTTGGCATAAAACAAGCATTTCCATAACATGGTACAATAAAAAGATGATTGCATATGAAACCGCAAATCCACTATGTAAACTTGCTATTCATTTTAAATATACAGCAAAGTTATCATGTAAATTTCCTCCCCCCTTTTCTTCTCTTACCTCCCCACCCCCACCCCAGAGACGGCTACCATTAGACACAAATAGGTATACATGTAAAATTATTCTATACATACTCCTATTTATCAGTTCTTTCTCTGAATGCAGATAGCATCTTTCTTCATATGTCCTTCATAGTTAATTTGGGTATGTATAATAGTCAAAATGACTTATTTGCTCAGTCATTCTTAAAACAATATTGCTGTTACTATATACAGTGTTCTCTTGGTTCTGCTCATTTCACTCTTCACTATTCTGGCTAAGAAACAGAAAGGTAGATCAATGGAACAGAGTAGACATACAATTTATAGCAGCAAATAAATATAATAACCTTGTATTTGACAAGTGTAAAGACTTAAGATTTTAGGATAAGAATTCATTATTTGGTAAAAATTGTTGGGAAAAATTGGAAAGCATTATGGAGAAACTTGGTATAGACCAATATCTTATACCATTTACCAAGATAAGGTCAAAATGGGTACATGACCCAGATATAAAGAGAGATATTAAAAGAAAATTTGAAGAACATGGAACATAATACTTACTAGAATTATGGATAGGCAAAAAAATTATGAATTAAAAAAGACAGAGAGCAAAGTTAGGTATAAAATGGATAATTTTGATTACAGTAAATTAAAAAAATTTTTGTACAAATAAAACAAATGTAACCAAGATCAGAAGGAAAGCAGAAAATTGGGGGGAAATTATAATAGGCAGTTTCTCAGATAAAAGTCTTATATCTCAAATATACAAAGAACTTTGTCAAATTTATACAAATATAAGTCATTCCTCAATTGATAAATGGTCAAGATATGAACAAGCAGTTTTCCAATGAAGAAATCAAAACAATTTATAGGCAGATGAAAAAAATGCTCTAAATCATTATTGTTTAAAGAAATGTAAATTAAAGCAACCTTGAGATATCATTTTACACCTATCAGATAGTCTAAAATGATTGAAGGGGAAAGTGACAAAGAAAATTGGGAAACTAATTCATTGTTGGTGGAATTGTGAACTGATCCAACCATTTTGGAGAGCAATCTGGAATTATGCCCAAAGAATTATTAAACTGCCTATACTCTTTGACCCAGCAATACCACTACTTGATCTATTTCCAAAGATGATTACAAGTGAAAGAACTGGGATGGACATAAGACAAGGAGCCCCTTTCCTCAGCATGGATCCTAACCAAATGGACATTTATACTTTAATGCGGTCACTTTTACAATGTCCTAAAGTATGGAATACCTCCTATCCACTTACCTTTGCCTTTACCACTCTCTAAGCCTAGAAAGCACTACTATCCTCCTTATTTCAACTTCTTTGAATCCCCACTAGCTTTTTTCAAGGCTCTGCTATGAGACACCTTCATGAAACCTTTCCTAATCTCTCCCAAATTCTTTCCCTTTCCTCAAATTATCTTGTATTTACCTATTTGTACACAGTTGAATGTAGGCTTCTTGAGGGCAGGGACTGTTTTGTGGTTGTTTACCCTGCCTAGCATGATGCCTGGCATGTAGTAAGTGTTAAAGTGTTAAAGAAGTATTTCTAGAGTTGAATTGAAATGGGGCCCACTATCTTCTCTCCTGGGAGGTGGGGAACAAATCCCTGCTAAGGAAGGCAAGGAAAATTCCAGGCCCTGCTGTGCCCTTCTAACCTGCTCTGTACTTTTCTTCTATTCTCAGGGTGAGGTGCGGGGCCAGAAGTCCTAAATAAGTGGCATGACAAGCCAGACCATCTCACAGCATTGACTATGAAGGCTCTACCTGTGACTGAAGCTACAGGGTTCTCCAGTATGACCTGGAAATGTGGAAAAAAGAGCAAAAGATGCTCTTCAGTAATTTTATTATTTCATTCAATGGGTGCATGTATGTGTGTGTGCATGTGTCCCTGTTTTTCCCAAGCCTGGGCAGCATTGTTGTAAAATGGAAAAGGACCTAAATTTCTAACCAAATTGGAAAATATTGGGAGAGTTGACCTTGAGTTCCGTGGACCTTTTCAACAGGGAATGACCATACCACTTTAGAAAGAAAAAGGGGTTGACATGGAAGCCTAAGTGGGTGGATCCAGTGAACAGGGTCATGGAGGAGCTCTGGAGATACCTTCAATGACCTGTACCATTCTCTTGCTCTTGTCTTGCTGACTTCTGGATTATGGCACAAAGACAAGCTGACGATGGCACAGCACCTTAATTCTTTAAGGTGTGTGTGGAGGGCCCTTGAAGTAAATCCTCCCTTAGTGCTTAGGTTTTTTTTTTTTTAATGAGGCAATTGAGGTCAAATGACTTGCCCAGAGTCACACAGCTGGTAAGTATTCCACGTCTGAGGCCAGATTTGAACTTAGGTCCTCCTGACTTCAGGGCCTGTGCTCTATCGACTGTACCACCTAGCTGCCCCTGATAATGTTTTTTCCAGAAGGAAGTTTCTGCTGGATCTGCAATGTAACCTAGTAAAGGTGCTCCAGACTTCTCCCCATTGTCCTCCTAATGCTTCAGTCTACCACACTGGCCATCCAACCTCTTGACTGTCAGTGGAAGCAGCTGTAAAATAACCTGTGTCTGCTGCTCAGCCACGTCAGGGCTGTCTTGACTTTTTTTTTTCTTAAGGAGTTGGAAAACAGTTAGATATTTTTTGAGATCAAGGCCTTCACAGAATCTCAGAGCTGGCCTCTTCCTCCCAGCCTCTCCTGTATCCACAGTCTGTGGCTGGACTATGCCAAAACACGTCTGTCTGGAACTCAGAGTCTAATGTTTTCCCAAGAGATCCCCACTAGGGCTCCTCTAGACCTGCCAGGTTTCTGAGATATCTGGGTTCTCCTTTAGCTGCCAACAAGTGAACCACATTTTCCCTACCTGGAAGATTCAAAGGCTGGAGGTGGCAAAGATGTGGACCCTTGCCCAGGATTCTGAGAATCCATGGCAAAATCCTACTGGACCGGCATATTTATCACATCAAGGGCCTATACCATGCCCACAGTGCCTTAAGATTCCATCTATACTTTTCTCATCTTCTCTTTGGGTCTGACAATGCGGCACCTATGTGTGCTCGAATGCCAAGGAGGGGAAGCCTGGACGTACCTCCCCCTGCTCTCACCTCCCCACACTGCTCTTTCTGAGGATCCAAGCTGGCTTTGCTTCCAGAAGACACCAGTGTCTCCTGCCCTTCATCTCTGTCCAAAAGCCGGATGTTTGAACAACATCTTTTCCTCTTCTCCCATACTTCTCATTCTCCAGGGAGCTACCTCACGCTCCCAAACTGGCCTCTGAAGCCAGAAGATGGGAGCGGCATGTGCAGGAATGGAGCATGATCTACCTAGGAGGAGCCGGGCGCCCCCTGCTTAAGTTGAGGTCATCTCTTGGCCAAGAGAAGAATCAGAGCGGGAAAACCAAGTGCTGTTTGAGTGCTAGCACTTGTTTGCCAACACAGGGGCCATTGCCATGAGTTGTGCTGGCTAATGTCACTGCGAGGGATGACAGTCCCTTTCCCGGGAAGCTATATCGCACAAGCTGCTTCAACAATAAAACTTGTTTAACCTCAAGGAGTCATATCAGGTTGCTGACCCCAAGGGTAGGCCTCCTTCCTAGCCTGGGGCAGCTTTATAATGGCCCCTGTCAATAGTCATGAGGCTGCCCAGTCACATTTCTATGACATGACACCAGGACCTGGCGGGATATTCCCAGATTCTGACTTCTTGTCCCCCTCAACCTATCCCTGCTCCTAATTTCCCTATTTGTCAAAAATACCAGCATCCTTCCAGACACCTGGGTGCACAAGGTCAGAGTCACTGGACTCTCTGTTCCATTCACGCCACCATCACTCTGCTTCTTATTGCCTGCTGCCTCTCTCCGTCTCTCCTCTCTCTGATATATCCTCCGTACAGCTGCCAAACGGAGACTCTTACAGTGTATCTCTGACCACATAACTCCCCTTGCTCAAGAAACTTTTCAGTGGTCCCATTATGCTGAGGCTAAAAGGTAAAATACAACCTTCTTTGGTGCTGAAAGCCTTCCACAGCCTGGCTGCAATCTATCGTTCCAGACTGATGTCACATTCCTCCCCTTTACGCTCTCAACATTTCATGCCCCTGGTTTGCCCCTGGAATGCTCTCTCTCCTCACCCACCTCTTGGAATCAGTAGCTCCCTTCAAGGCTCAGCTCATATGCTGCTTCCTACAATAAGCCTTCCCTGATTTTTTCCAGTGATAGTGTCCCCCTGAAATTACTTTATATTTATTTTGTACATATATATTTTTATTTACTTACCGGTGTGCTTGTTGACCCCCGACCTCCATGTTCCACTATAATGTAAGCTCTTTGAGGGCAGGAATTATTTTGTCTTTGTATCTCGAGCTCTTAGCACAGTGCCTGGTACGAAGTAGGTGGTTAATAAATATTTCTTGAGTCAAATTGACAAAATGAAGCCCAAACATCCCTCATTTTGTTCCTAACCCAGTCCTGCTTGTTTTTTTCCCTTATTCCTCCTCTCTCTCCCTCTTTCTTTGCTCACCAAAAGCTAAACCTATGGCCCTTTACATCTCTGTTATTTCTATCTTATAAGGAAATTTCATGGATCTTTGAGCCTCAAAGCTATTAGGGACCTTACAAATCATGTATAATTTTATTCATATAGTCTGTTTTGTAGAAAAAAAAAAGTGAGACCAGGAGAGGGCAGGATTCATATCAAATAATCAGCAGAACTGATCTTAAGAACACTATAGACCAGTACTGTCAAAATCAAGTAGAAATGGGGCTGCTGGCCTCATATTGACTTATAAAATCACGTATTAACATTGTATATGATCTATTGCATTTTTCTTTATATTGTTAAATATTTCTCAATTACATTTTAATCTGGTTTCAGTCCACTGGGGAATGTTGTAAGCAGCATGGTCTGCAACCTGTCTTTGACCCTTGCATTACAGACCACCTGGACAAGATGAACAGATACATGAAACATTTGAAAAATAGATTGAAGCCTGGCATTAAGGCCTTAGATAGTACTGATGGGAGACTTGAATTATCTGGCCATCTGTGGGAGTTCTCTCCCTCTGCCAAAAGGAGAGCTGTTATTTTATTCTTGGCTGGCCTTAATCATAATTCAATCATTCAAAAGATGGAGGAAGCAACCAGCAATGGTTCTTCTCAATAAGACTTAAGAACTTGTTGCTGGGGCAGAAATGGTGACACTTAGAAGGAAGTGGCCAGTCCATCTTAGAATTTGTGGTGGAGAAGGATGGGAAATCTGGGCATAGTCTGACATGAACCCTGAATTTTGGGAGGGCAGAGATCAGAGGGTTCAGAAAAAAGGATATATCCAATCCCATGGCCTAAAACTGGGGAGAAGCTCTCAAGAATGAAATTCTGAAGACATAAAGAAAAATAATTCATTTGAGGAGGAAAAGGAGAGAGTTGTCTCAATAAACCAATGTAGATGGGTAGATGTGTAACTGCCAACCCAAGATTTTCAAAAGACATGTATAAAATATGGAGATGAGAGTTGTAAGTAGGAAAAAAGAGACAATAGGGCAGCCAATTCCTATAAGAATGATATGGGATTCAGCTGTTCAAGGAGGTAATCTCAAAAAATGCTTAGGACAACAAGAATTTTTTTATTTTGTAAAAGGAGAAGATCAAAGAAGTGTGCTTAGGGTGGATTGGAAAACTTGTAATAGAGAGAAGGCAGACTTTTTTTCAGTCAACTCTTATTTTTACTCTATGTCCCAAATAGAATAATCTTTAGGCTAGAAAAGGCTAGGAAAAAGTGGATAATAGGTCAGTCAGTCAGTTAATGAACATTTACTAAGCATCTGCTTTGTACAAGGTTTTAACTACTTACCTGCCCTTGATAAGTTCAAATCACCTGACCTAGCCAACCTACATCCCAGATAAGTACTGAAAATAACAGTGGATGTGACTGTGGAAAGATTGTAGAGAACAGAGGCTGGATGATAACATCTCAATTTAAAAAAAAAAGGAAAGAGATGGAGCAGCTAAGTGAAGCAGTGGATAGAGCACTGGCCCTGGGGTCAGGAGGAACTGAGTTCAAATCTGGCCTCAGACACTTGACACTTACTGACTGTATAACCCTGGGCAAATCACTTAACCCCAATTGCTTAGCAAAAAACAAAAAACAAAAACAGGAAGGAGACTAAAATGTGTACACTCCAGGCTTTACTTTAATTCCTGTAAAAAACATTCTAGAATGCCTCATGAAGCAGATGGTTAGTAGTATCTAGAAAAGGAAGTATAGATCAGAAAAAACCAGGATGGTTTCATCAGAAACATGTCGTATCAATTTAATTTCACTTAACTTTTGGCCAACTTACAAAACTGGTAGATTGGGAAAGTGCTGTAGATAGTCTGCCTACATTTTAGCAATCTATTTAGTTCAGCATAGTAATTTGGTTTACCTAAATTTAGCAACCAGCCCTGATTGCAACTAATTTTATTATTATGTAATCTCATCTCTCCATCTTGACCACAAGAATAATACAGACTTTCTTATGGTATTTTTGTGGACAAGATGGGGAGATGTGGGCTGTGTAAAAAGTGCAATGAGACATATTTGAAACTGATTAAGTGTTCAGACCCAAAGAGTAGTTATTAATGATAGCATCTTGGGAGGTCTTCAGTGGGGTACCCCAGAGATCTTTGCTCGGCAGGCATTTTTAAACTTGTTTTGTCAGTTGCTGGGATAAAGTCATAAATGATACACATCAAATTTGCAGATGACCTAAAGTTGAGAGGGATGACTACCATGTTGGATGACAGAGCCAACATGCCAAAACATCTTGACAGGATAGCCCAGGCATGGGGAACCTGTGGCCCCCAGGCCAAGGATTCAATCCAAAGACCACACTTAAGGATTTAGAAGGCTGTATGTATCTTCAAGGCCACAGGTTCCTCACCCCTGGGCTAGAGCACTGGGGTGGATCTGATAAGATGGAACTCAATAGAGATAAATGTAAAGTCATGCTAGAGTGTAGGAAATCAACTATCCAAGTAACAAATGAGGAAATGGCAGTTTATCTGAAAAAGATATTTTTTGTTTGTTTTTGGGTTTGGGTGTGTTTTTTTTTTTTTTTTGGTGAATCTCAAGCTTCAAATGAACCAACACTCACATTGCTGCTAAAAAATCTAAGGTGAGCTTGAGTTGCTTTGAGAGAACTATACTGTCTAGGAACATGGAGTTGACAATCCTGCTGTACAAGATTACAGACTACATCTGAAATACTGTGTTCAATTCTGGTTGCCATGTTTAAGGAAAGATGGTAATAAGTAGGAGGAAGTCCAGAGGAGGGCAACTAGCGTGG